AGGGATTCTAGTTCTCTATATTTTACCAATGTCATATCTTTCACTGTTTTCCATTGTTCAGTATCAGATATGTAACAAGTTTCGATTTTAGTTTGTTTAAAAAGATATATAAAATAATGTAAACTGGAAAATGATCTTGCCATTTCATTTATAAGTCAAATTAAGAAAAACAAAACAAAACAAAACAAAAACAACTCTTATTGTGATAAGTTGCTTATTTTTCCTAACCTCATATTACTAAACTTTATATTGTCCATTGTGATATTTAATTTTGCCTCATGTTTTGCAAAGTTTTAAATTGAATGCAAACCTTAAAAAGCCAGTTTCCCAGGTTACAAATTATTATTATTATTATTCATTAAAAATGTATATTTCATATTAAAGAAAAGAATACACTCAGATAATAATTATAATTATATTGATACACATACTGTATAATGTTTATGGAATAAAATTTATAAAAAACTTTGTGTATGATTTTATATTTTTATTGTCATCTCCTTTATCCTGCTGAATATTCCAACTTCAGTTGTTCTAGTTTTTTAGTTCACCTGAGCACTATATATACTCAAGAGCTGAGCTTTTGTGATGGCAATGTGTTCGTCGTTCAGCGTTATCCATAATTTCTTTATAAAACAACTTCTTCTCTTAAACCACATGGTAAATTTGACCACACTTTGGCGTTAGGTAGCTCTTTTTAAAGTTATAGATTACCATTGTTCCAGTCTAATGAATAAGTAGGCCACAGAACCAAAAGGTACGTAGACTTTTAAAAATGAAATCCTTACAAAAAATCTCCCCCAGAAACTAAAATACCCAGAGCTAATTCAAGCAGAATCACCTTGTGGTATTTTACATAAAGTTGTAAATCATGCTCCTGGAGTCAATAATGGCCTCTTCCACGGTCACTTAGTCTAAAACGCAGGTTAGTCTTCTTTTTAGAAATTACAATGCAATGTTAGCCAACTAATGATGAAGTTTGGAATTTTACAATATATTGAAGTTTAAATGCAAACCCACGAACGATGAAGTTTAGAACTTGAAAATTACATGTCAGATACCGTCATTTTTGACCATGTTGATTTGTAAAAGCATACAAATAAAAATTAAAACCCAGCTTCCAGCGAAGTTTTGATTTATAGTTGTGGGAATGTTTGTCAAATTGAGATACTATGTCAAATCTGAGGGGTCTTGAATCAGAGTGGTCTTGTTGCCTTATTTTGTAAGTAATTTCAATAACTAGGGGATATGCCAGTTTTTATTAATTTTGGAGGGTAGCTCATGTTTAAATAATGCCTTATTTCTATATTTAGAAATGCTTATTTTGTTTTGATACTATACTCATTATAACTCAAAAGTTGCAAAATTGTAATTTATATGAATATGTCTTTCTCTCATTCCTAGGTCATAAAGTGTTTTATTCCTGTATTCATCTTTCATTATCTCTAACAATTCCCTGCGTCCCTATACAACTGGAAATAATCTACACTCTTATTTTACATTTATTTTTTAGTATGGTTGTTTCTCTTGAATTTTTTGCTTCAACAAAATTTCCTTCTAGTATGTGTTTTGAAATAAATAAGCAGTTTAGTAATGGTTTCTTTGTCAAGGTAACCATAGTTTGTGTTTACATATAAGAATTTGCATCTTTTTAGCATTGATGGGAAGTGACATTATTTATATGATATATATGGTAGAATAATACAGCAAAATTCCATGATTGTTTAATTATGTTAAATATAAGGTTAACAATTCGTTCATTGTATTTATTGGCTTACATGTTCCTAGCACTTAATGGAACTTGAAAAGCCTAAAAACATAGAATTTGATTTTTTTATTTTCCCCATAGATAAAGTGAAGGAAATGTCAGCAAAGGGTAAGACTCAGAATTAAATTGAAAATCGATAGTAAGTACAATTTCTAGCCCGATTTGAGTGACAAGCGATGCAACGATTTCCATTTTTAGGTCATCTTGCGCAAAAAAATGATTCCGGAAAAACGGGATAAGATCCTGATGGGAAACTGCTTCTTTTATGTTCTCATAATTTATTTTGCTTGCATCATATAAAAACTCCTAAATATACACTTTAGTTTATAGATTTTATTTTCGACTGGTTTTATTCCTCTCATAAGTGACAGCGATATGTTAAGATGTTTATTGTCGATTGTTTTAACGATCACATTCTTAACTCTATAACGATCGTACCTAATAACGTCTGTAAGTCAGTTTAGGATATGCATCAATATACGACAACATTAATGTAACAACAAGCAAAATTTTATTTTATACGCAACCACGACGAAATATGATAATTAAAAAAAATGTGTACTTCATTTCACACGTGTTGAAGGAAATCTTGAGTGCAAAATCTTTCGTCAAAGATCTCTGGTAATATCTTATTTATGAGTGTTTTAATAAATACATTTCCGAGTATTATAATTTTGCAAAATAAACACTTATGACCATGTGCATATTCCGGTCATAACACTGGGACCAAAAATGTTTGTCCCAGTTCTAATGTATAATGAAGACAATTCATCTCTTTATGATAATATACTTTTCGTAAATTTGCCTAATAATAATTAGTCCAACTAATTGTACTACGCGACGAAATATTGTGCTATTTTCGTGTCTGGGCAATATCTTCCCGTTAAAGCGAGATTCTGCCCCAGAACGAAAATATCTCAAAATCAAGCTTTTGTACGTCAATATATTTTGACTATAATAATAATACACGCCCGGCAAACTGTCGCTCCACTTCAAAATTGTGGTGTACGGTAAAACGAGCGAACGGCATTTCCGAGATAGAGCGGAAGGCCGATTTAAACGCCTAATTGTAAGTATTGTTTATGTTTTTGTCTTGTTATTCATTTAAGTTGTATTTTTTCGAAAAACAGAAAATGTAGTTCCGTGTAGGATTGATTTAGGCTTCCAATGATCTAAGCTGTTACAAAAACAAAATTATATTAAGCCCAGGAGAACTTTTCTCTCTGACGAAGCGAACGATGATTTGTAGAATATTGAACTTCCCAGCCATAAAAATGCCATACCCTTCGGATTTCTTGAAAAAGTGTATTAGTAAATTATCAACCCGTAATAAGAACTTGCCCTTCGTGCAAAATAAATTACTCCTGAAGGATTTCTTAAATTTGTAAATCGATATTTTTCGAAAGTAGTGGAGCGAAAGGGCAAGAGATGGAGCAAAAGGTTCGATGCTGAGCGCAAGGCGATATAAATTTGACGTTTTAGGAGGAGCGTAGTCTATGATTTTTTTATATATAAAAGCTATAGAAGTTAAAATAGACATGATCAAGTGTTAAGACCGAGATATATATACCTTCTAAAGACAACTAATAAAGTGTGATATCCTTTCAACGACTATAGCGTAATAAACGTAATCGCGAAGGTGTCACCTATGGCTGCCGTGTAGTTTCCATTATTTATGTTCGAAATTTGGATGAGGCCCGACCATTGAATCATACACATGTATGCATGGCATAATACAGGATGTCACTTATTCGAGGTCAATCACGATTTTTCACACGGTTATGTACATTTAAAAACGTGTGTCCGTGAAATTCGACAAAATTGAATATTTTCAGTTCTACCGCGAACAAATGTTTCCGAGGCGATTGTTCACGCCAAAATGTTATGTTTTTCGAAAAATTAGATATTCATGGTGCAGAACAGAAACAAAATTATGCCATGTATGGAACATATTAAATTTAATAGATCACTACTACCGAGTTCTGTTAGTCATTAATAGCTCTAACGTACATGTTCAGAGCAAACACAAATAAGCCACGTTTTCATGAATTTGTAAGGCGAGGAATCGCTATGAAAATGGTTGACAAAGTGTCAGTCGTTATAAGGATATAACACGTGTTTCAGTTATGTTTCAAGATACTTCCTCCCTTATTTGGCATTGTTGTTTAGTTTTTTTATTTTCCTCTCAAAGTGTAAATAGAAATTTCTACTATAACTAGGTCTATTATATTATTGATAATTTTAGTCCGTACACCGACTGAGCTCTGCCTTTTTTATTACGTTCGTTTTGTTCATAGATAAACAAACAAAATCTTAGATACTTATTTTAACTTAATTTTTTCTTAAACCAAGATTTGTACTGCAGTGTTTGATTATAAAAGTAAACATTTTCTATTTACACTTTTCTCATGCAAACAGAAATTGTACTTCCGAATTCGCCACAATGAGGTTGCACATTTGTATGCTCATTAAACTCATTTTGGTTGTCTGGGCACCAAAATTAGATCTGGAGTCGATATGTAACCCAATTTATTAATGAAATGTCGCTATTTCTTTTTTATGAATTTTTTTAATGTAACTTTAAAGATAGTATAATATGCAAATATCAGCATTGTTTATAATATGTGTTTATATCCTGGTTAAAAAATATCCTTTTTGTTTTGAGTTTAAAGGCATTTACATGTAAAACGTTGCACAGTATCCAAACAAATAAAAAGTACTGCAAAACATACCATCAAAAAATCAAACAAAGACTACGGAAGAAAGTTAATCTCTTTTATTAAAAAAAAGACAATGTATGAGACAGAAAACACATTATTACACGCTACTACCATAACATGTAAGAAGAGTGACAATATTACCATGCTGTTGTTGTCTTGGTTTTAATGTAAACAATACTGAGAATGAATCAAAAAGCCAATTAAATGTTATTAGACAATTGAAATGAATTTATAAATCCTCATTCAAGATCGTTTTCTTTTTCTCTTATAAATATAAGAAGTCAGTAGCTACATTTATATCGAAAAGTAGATGGTTCTAATTGTGAGTAACTTTACTTCCAATTTCCAATTTCCCGATGAGCTGTCTATTTTTTGACTGGCCATGCATACATGAAATACGTTTTAACCTACATAACCTTTGGCTGCTAGGCTTGCTTGCATCTTAATACGATAATCTCATGGAAATTGAGAAGAATTGAGGCACTCACTGCATATGTAAGTAAGATATGAAATATTTTCTCGGAATTTTTATTTATTTTTTAATCTTTTATATCAATTGAATTTGGAAGAATAAAATAGTTTAGAGACATTTCTGAAATGGTTGGTATATCAAACTATTGATCATGACCTAAATTGTTATGGAAAGTGTTCAACGGCTGCTCTGTAAAACAATATTTAATTATGACAGTGGATCAACAATTGCTCTTGAAGTATAGGAGCAAACTGCACAAGTGATTTCCCTTCCTTCAACATAAGGCGGACATTCCAGGGTCCCGCATTCTCCTTGAGCCGAAAGGAATTTCGTACCGGGTTTCTCACCACTACCAGAATTTCCTTTCTCGGGTTCCCGGTCCATACAAATATATTCTGATGTCCCAGGTTGCCCAAAATTACCAGCCATGAGATAGCCTGAATATTGTAAAGTGTAACCTCCTCGACAATTGTTCTGTCCAGGCACCATCATTACATTACCGTGCCTTATGCGACACACAACACATGGCACATCGTGGTTATGAACAGCATTGAATTTAGAAAGGGTATTTTGGGCCCAGTATTCTGCACCATAAATCCTCGTTCCACCTTGAAATCCGTCAATGTATTCATTCCACTCTGGTTTGTTAGAAAGACAAAGTGTGTTGGCAGCTGCCCCTGTGTGTAATGAATTTCCACTACCAGCACTGCCTTCGTATACCAGAACAGCATCTTTAGGACATGTTTTTCTCCCCCAACGGATGTAAGTCGACCCGTCTGCACGACTCAATTGATTTCGTAGCTCATCCATTGATCTTTGAGCACCTAAAAAAAGGTTAGAAATTGTGAATTCCACTGCAAATGTCAGTTTCATCGAAAACATAGTGGTTTTATGGAACTTCAGTCTTTAGTAGGTTTACTTAACTTTATCACAAAGGCTTTCCTTAAAGGCCCGGTCACACAGCCTTTCGCGTCTGTATCGCGGGTTAAATTTCCCGTTTTTTTTGCCCGCGGTTGTCCGTGGTGGAAAATGTGCAAAATTGGCTTAACCGCGGTTTACCCGTGGTATGCCCGCGGAACAGACGCCGGCGACTGTTCCGCGTCCTTATAGCGGGTGAAGCGCGGCGGTACCGCGGCCTACCACGGGTATAATAAAGCAGCCGAACCGGGCGGTAGAAATCATAACCACTCAAGACACAGTCCCGTGAAGATCAAGCTATGGCTCTGAAGAAGCCCACGTCGAGTTCCCCGGCCAAGAAGAAGAAGCAGCGTGCGAGCAAGAAGCCGAGGGCGAAGGCAGCAGATGAAGGCAGCCCAGTGCCAGTAGACAGGAGTCATAGTGGAGGTGCAAGCTGTCGTCCACCCTGCTGCCGAAGTTCCGAGTGATCGTGGCGAGGTCGAGGCCAGTCCTGCTGTCAGTCCAAGAGCTGCCAGTCTAGTTGAAGAGGAGGATGTCATTGTTCTGGAGACCCTCTCTGAAATCACTTGCATTGTAGATGTGGGCATCAGACGAAGACCCTTGCCGCTGACGTCTTTCCAGAGAAACTTGTAGTCAGATGTGACGACTGCCAGGAGGATGACACTGAAGAAGCCCTTGTAGTTGAAGTAGTCGGACCCAGTGTTGGCAGGAGATTTACAGGCAAAGTGCTTGCCGTCTATTGCACCAATGACATGCGGAAAGTTCCAACTGTTCATCCAATTTTTCGTAAGCTAGCTGGATAGCTTCCTCACATGAAAGAATCCTTAGTCCCAAGGCGGGATTGGTGCATACAGCGGTGAGGGACAAGTAGTTTGAACTCAACGACCTTAACAACTCGGCCACGGACGCCCCTTTGTTAAAAGTAAGTAAATAAAAACTTGCGTGTAGCTGGGACGGGCTAAATCTAATTTTGAAGGAATTTGTTGCCTTTGATATATACTGTTGTATTATATACTTATAAATGAACTTTAATTAAGACGTATTGATCAACTAAAATGCATTTTTGTCTTTCTTCTTGAGCTGTTCTTATAACCTGAATACTACCCAGTTGTACAAATTACGAATATGTCTTACCGTTTAGCTCCTTCTTTAGGTCCACACTGACTCGTTCTTGTCTCTCTAGGTTTTGTTTAAGAATAACCGTTATAACAGGATAACTGTTCTATAACATTGTATTCATATTCGAACTTATTGTAACATTGCTGTTCCTTTGTTAAAGCCACGCTTGGTAAATTAACTATGAAAGCAAGAACTGTGATAAAAATATGAAACACTGCCATCATTTATTAACGTAACTTATTTGTACGTTCAGGTGACTTGTTACAAACTGTTTCTATTGTGTAATAATCCTATTCAAAGTGTAAATTAAATAATCTGGACGAAGAGCTTAAAGGTAGTTAATCTTATCAACACAATATTTTTATCTTATTCATTTGAAATTACCAGTATTTTATTTTAGTTATTCCTATTTCCATCCTAACAGTAATTATCTCTCATTTGAAATATGTTGCTACCTGTCATTTAGGTTTGAAACACTCAAATGTAGATCTATTTTCGGACAGATTGTATTTCGTTTTCCAAAATATATTTTCTGTTACACAACAGAACAACACATGTGCCCGTAATTGTTAAGCAAGACTTAAATGTTGACCTTTCCTTGTAAGACCAAGCTGTTGAATGTGCTGAAATTACTTTGCGGATGTTAATGCACGGCAAAGGGAGCACTTACGCTCTTCTTGTATAAAATTCGTTATCGAATTCTCTTAATATAAATAAACCAGATTGACATGCCTTCAACATGCTAGTGCAATAACTCTTTGACATTTATGTTTTGATAATAAAAATATGGGGACCATCGTGACAGTACGCAATCTAAGTCAGGCATATTACAAATGTGCAAACAACGGCACGTGCTTCATGACTCATTCGTTAACGGATGAATATATGCCTGTTGCAACAATTAACCTTAAATAAATATGTTAAAATATTACATTTAAATGCAATCCGTAAAAAGGAGACATTGCACAAAATATCTTTCTGTCATCAGAAGTAGGCCCTTTATATCCCCATTGTGCGATTCATTTTCTTAAAATATAAAACTTTTGTTCATTTTCTTCCGTAATCCTTGTCTATGTTTTAAAAGGAGACATTGCACAAAATATCTTTCTGTCATCAGAAGTAGGCCCTTTATATCCCAATTGTGCGATTCATTTTCTTAAAATATAAAACATGTGTTTATTTTCTTCCGTAATCCTTGTCTATGTTTAAGGTGTGTTTTGTCCCTGTTTTTTCCTTTTTAGATACTTTACAATTTTATTAAGAGTAGACGAGTTTTGTTTAAAAACAAAACAGGTTATTTCTTCTATAAGGTTACAATAGACAACGATGTATGTATCACGCTATCAAAATACCCGATTTTTCAAACGTCACGGAGTTTTTTGTGATATGTCACAAGATGTCCTTGAGTTCTTGTGATAACTTTTGTTACTGTCAGTGTGTTTCGTGCGCTAAATCGCGGCATGTTTTAGCGTTTTTTAGTATTCAATAAGGTTATGAATCATTATGAAATCTAGTACGCACAAATGATATCACAAGTTATCACAAGAACTCTAGGGCATCTTCAGAGTTGTCAAAAGAACTCCGTGACTTTTGAAAACTCAGGTATAAATTTGCTTGCCGGGGCTTTATGTTTCAAATTTGCATTATAATAAGGTAATTATGTATGGCAAGGATGAATACCAAAAACAAACAGATGAATTCGTGCAAATTGGCAAATATTTGGAAATTTTACTCAGAACTACCATATTTTAAACAAGAGGCAATGAAATGTGGCCTATAAGAATTAGTAGAGATCATGTGTTCGAGCATTGCTCGGGTCCCGACCATGTTTCTTCATATGACACCAGTACTGGTTGGTTCATTGAAGAGGACTCGAAATTGATTAATATAAGTTGTAAGAACTTGATTCGCAATCGAGCTTAAATAAATATGTTTAAACCAAATATGTTTAATATGCAAAATAAATAAGTATAAACATCCACTTCATAACAATATTATTTCAATGTACAACGAGACAAATTCATCCTTTTTATAATACACTGTACTTTGAAATTCGTAAATTTGCCTAAACAATCACCAATTTGCATAATAAAAGTGTCCTTTTAGGAAGTAAGGTAATGAAAATGTCATTGTTTATCATGTTTATATTGTTAACCGAATATCTGACTGATGATAAATAAAATATGTTTTAGAAGAAATTGATAAAAATAATTTTAAATCTTTAGTATGACGCTAATAGATACTTTTAAACCAAACCAGCCATTGCCCAGGCTTCTTCATTAACCACCAACACTAATTTATAAACAAGTGGTTTGTGTGAATGAGGCTATGGGTCTGAAGAAGCGCCGGTCTGATTAGTTTATCTTTGCTCTCAAAATTTATGGTACATAAAATAGACCCTTGTTATGTTAAGAAATTTTAATGCTATGAAAGTTAATTTGTTTTGAAGTGTTTTCGGAAAAAGGTGAAATGAATAGCCGTCATTCTTTTGTGAAAGAAGTGCACCTACAATTTACGTCTTAGCTAGCAAGAAGAAACTTCCCAAAATTAAATATCCCAACTTCAGGTTAAATATTACATTTAGCACATTAATATTTCTACTGTCAATTGTCCCAAGGGAACTTAAAGATATCGTTCCAAGGACGAAATAAAAATTTAGTAAAATGATTTTATATGTAAAATAAAAAAACTTGTTGAGTTGATATTCCGCCCTGTATGATGGGCTTTTAAATTCAAAGGATCTCAGAATATCAGAATATGAAGGAAAGTATGTATGGTGCCCTTGTTGCATAAAATTAATATCGATACAATGCCCACAAATTGAGTATTTAAAAGCAAAATTACATTTATCATCAGGACATCCTTTGAGACATAATAACAATAGTGTTTAATCGTGCCATCATTTAATGTTGGGTCATTCATGTTTTTAGAATGATACTTCAAATATTTGTAGCATTTCCTGTCGAAAATTTCCTAAGATTATTTCAACTTAAAATTATGAAATGATATCATTCAAGAATACTACCATTATATAATGAGCACATTTTATTTTTAAATCGTATTAAATTTTTATGGTATAGAATAGTTTTTAATCTTGACTATCAATATTACTATTTTGGAATCATGAAATAATGCGAGAAAGCAGATTAACGATTTTGAAGCTTCACGAAATACAGCTCAATTCTAGAAAAGAACAGTAGTTTGAAAAAGGAAAACCATTCAGTCTTGATGTAGAACGGTACACTACACAAGATATATCCATTTCCATAGATGGACAGGTGCTTTTGGGCACTTTCGAAATTTCTTTTCCGAGATTATCACCACTACCAGAATTTTCTTTCTCGAAACCTCTGAGCTTTACCACAGTACCAATAAATTGAAGGACTTTTACTTAGAACGCGATTAATTAATCTACAATCATGCACATAGGAAAAATGTCATTACTTATATTGTTAAATGAATCTCTGACTGTTGATAAAATAAAAAAATGCATTTCAGAATAGAAAAATTCAAAATCTTTAGTATGATACTAATAGCTGCTTTGAAACGCAACCATTGTTATGGCCTTTTTATAAGTTGCCAAAACCAATCAATTTATAAAACGGTGGACTGCATTAATGAGGCTATAAGTCCGAAGAAATTTGATGATCACCGCCCTTCCGTGTTTATCTTTGTTCTCATATTTTATAGCACATAAACCGGACTCTTGTTAAGTGTTATACTTTCTTACAATTATTATATATTCTTGTTTATGTGAGTTTTTTAAATTAATGAAATTCAAAAATATTATATTATAGTTATTATCATCAATTTTACCTAAGACATTTATTTGAAGTATCTGTTTGACTTAAAGAAAGGAAGTAACAGGCCCTGGCTTTTGATATCTGGCGTGTTAATCAGTCTTAATCGAACCATTTTTATTGGTCAAATCTATAATTTCATATGTGATAAAATGTATTTTCATTGGCTATTATTTTCTTATTTTCTTGTTTAAGGGTAATTTTTATATTGGATCATTATCGAAACATGGGTAACAATTATTCTTATATTGATTAAAGGGGCAGAACTTTTATATATAGAACTATTCAGCCAGTCAGACAGAAAACATGTAAGTATCAAGTTTAGAGCTTTGGCGCCGCAGTTTTCTGCGGTGCAATTTAATATATATATATATATATATATATATATATATATATATATAATATATATATATATATATATATATATATATATATATTGTTGTTTTTCAACCGGTTGGAATTGTTGTTATAAAAATGGAGTAAAAAAACTATATAATGAAAACGAAAAAATGGACTAACAAACTAGTGACATATTTATAATATCAAGGGTAAAAATTTGGACTTTAGTGTAATACACTTTAACGGAATTTTATACTTCAGAGAAAATTACAACACAAAATATAATTACGAAAGACGAAACCTCCTCCAATACAGTATGGCAGACGAGCCAAACCACCCCTCACCCACCCGACGAAACTCAGCACCACATAATTAATTAAAGTTAACGTATTGGAGGCGGAAAACTTCGACAATATTTTTGAAGTTGTTAACAAAACATTGATAATATGTATGACCGACATTCTTTTTGAGAAAGGATTGCACCTACAATTTACGTCGTAACTAGCAGGAAGAAAGTATCCGAAATTAAAAATAACAACGTTAGATGACATGTTGCATTTACATAGCAATATTGAAACTAGTGAAGATAGTCCAGAGGGAACTTGAGAATGAATTCAATAATGATACAAGTCCAAAATAGAGCATTTCGAGCAAAATTACATTAAAAGTAAGAACAACCTTTTTAGATATAATATTATTAGTAATTCATTGCGCCATTCATTTATGTCCAGTTATTCATGTTTTTACAATTTTTCTTCAAACACTTGAAGCATTTCATGTCGAACATTTCGTAAAGTTACTTCAACTTAAAACTTAAGAAAAGATATTATAATAAGAGTAATATTAGTAAATGGCGGAACACATTTTATTTTTACATTAAATTCAATTTTCGTGGATATTTGTATTATTTTCAATCTTGAATATCAACATAATTGAAT